TGCCTCAAGTCAAACAAAAGAAAGAAATATTTATATATTGGTAATCAGTAGATACATACTAGATGTACTATAAATTGCAAAGTTGAGAATGGGATAAGTGTGTAAGGGAGTTAAATTCTCATATACCATACAGAGAAATCAATGGATTTTGTCTTAAGTTATAAATCAAGAAATAAGTGTATAAGCATGTTATCTGGAAAAAAATACAAAAGGAAATGTGTCAAATAGTTTATCGCTGGAATGAAGAGGGAAGAATAGGGTGGAGTCTGCTGCTTCCCTTTATGAGCTCTTTTGTATTATTTTTTGTTACCATATTTTTATATTATTCTGATAATAATTAAAAGTTAAAAAGGGAGTAGGAATCAATTGCCAGACATGAAAAAGCAGAGAGGCTGACCTCAGTTGACTGCTTCAGGGTCTCTTTCTCCCTGGCCACTGACAGCTCTGGAGTCAGACATTTATGGCTCATGATCCAGGGGGAAAATTCAAAATATTCCAGGAAAAAACTGATTGGATCACATGGCCCAATCAAGGGTGTGCTGGACTGTGATTGGTCTCACCAGAATCATGTGACCAGCTGGTTGTCAGGAAGGTTGAAATACCCCAGGACCAGATAGAGTGGTAGAGGAGCAGTTTTGGAGGATAGGGTGGGACTGTAATTGGGAGAAAGGAAGAGGGTTGCTGGGTGACCAAGCTAACAGATGCCCATGACACTGAGACTACTTGGGCCAGACCCTGGGACAAGGTGTGGAAGACGTAGAGACGACTGCAGCATGGAGCTCTTATTGGGAGCTGAGATGGGAGATGGAAACAAGGAGATGGCTTGCTGTTATCCAGGGGAGAACGTGGAAAGAGTCACACAATGTTCACACAAGATTCTATGGGAGCCAACAGATGATGACGCACTGCCAGCTGGGGCATCAAGAAGCCTTATCAGTTCCAAGGGCCTCCCAGAGGCTCCCAGCTGCAACACAGTGACTTGGGTCCAGACCCCAGTTCTTCTCAGGGAAGTTACTTCACCTCTCTGAGCCTGTTTCTCCAGAAGAGTGGGACAAAGACTTCAGTTTGGCAATTAGATCAGTTTGGGAAGCTGAGTACAGAGCTTGGCAAGTAGTAGGCACTTTCTCAGCACCTCCCCCCGGTGTCCCAGGGCTACCCTCCCATGCTGCCAATTTTTCTTTGAAGATAAACTGATTAGTTCCAACTTAGCTTAAAAGTAAATGACAGTCCTTAGAGTTGTTTCATTATCCAGTCTGTAGAATACCAGAAAATTATCCAAATGCCAAAAATAACCTAATTGTACGAAAATTGTCAACACAAATCCCCATGAGAACAGAAGCTTCCTGAAAGCAGCAAAGCATTATTTATTTTTGTGACTCTCCCTGGGGGACCTCGCATAATGGACACCCCCCACCCAGTTTTATTGAAATGTAACGAACATGTAGCACTGCATGCGTTTAAGGTGTACAGCACAGTAACTTGGTATATCCTGAAATGATTACTACAGTAAGCTTAGTAAACACCCATCATCTCATATAGATACACACACCAAAACTTTTTTTCCTTGTGATGAGAATTCAGGATTTACTCTCTTAACTTTCAAATACACTGTATACAGCCGTGTTAACCATAGCCATCATGTTTTACATTACTTCACCAGTACCTATCTATCTTACAACTGGAAGTCTATACCTACTGAACACCTTTATCCAATTCCCCTCCCCTGCCTCTGGTAACCATAAATCTGATCTTTTTCTATGTTTTTTGTTTTTAAATTGCACATGTGAGGTCATGTGATATTTTTCTTACTCTGTTAGACTTACTCACTTAGCATTATGCCCTCAAAGTCTATCCATATTGTTACAGATGGCAGAATTTTCTTCTCTTTATGGCCGAATAATATCCCTCTGTGTGTGTGTGTATATGTATACATGTGTGTATATATAAAACACACACACATGTATATCTTACAGCTTTTTTATTCACCCCTTGATGGACACTTAGGTTGTTTCCATGCCTTGGCCGTTGTAAAGAGTGCTGCTATGAACACGGGGGTGCAGATGTCTCTTTCACATAGTGTTTTCATTTCCTTTGTGTATATTCCCAGAAGTGGAATTGCTCAATCACAGGGGAGGTATATTTTTAACGTTTTGAGGAACATGCTTACTGCTTTCCATAGTAGCTGTGTCAACGCACAACTCCACCAACAGCGCACAAAGTTCCCTTTGTCTGCATCCTCACCAGCACTTGTCTCTTGTCTTTGTGACAGCCGTTCTAACAGGTGTGATGTGGTATCTCATTGTGGTTTTGAATGGCACTTCCCTAATGATTAGTGATCATGAGCATCTTTTCATGTACCTGTTGGCCATCTGTTTTTTGGAGAAATGTCTATTGGAGTCCTTTGTCCATTTTTTAAATTGGCTTATTATTATTTTTGCTATTGAGTTGTATGAGTTCTTTATATATTTGGTGTATTTCTAATCAGATACAAGTTTTGCAAGTATTTTCTCCCATTCAATACTTTTGTCTTTTCATTTTGTTGACTGTTCCTTTCACTGTGCAGAAGCTTCTTGGTTTGACATCATCCACTTCTTTTGCTTTCTGCTTTAGGTCTCATATCCAAAAAATCACTGTCAAGACGCAAGTGAAGGAGCTTTTTTCCTATATTTTCTTCTAGGAGTTTTATAGTTTCTGGTCTTACACTTAAATCCTTAACCCACTTCAAGGTAATTTTTGTGAGTGGTCTAAGGTAGGAATCTGTAATGGATGCTTTTAGTAGATTTTCAAACTGAATATATGAACGGATAAAGGGGTCAATGAGGTCCTAGAAAGAACACTGAAGCTAAGAGACCAGTTCGCCAAGACAGACTCCTGGCAGACACCCCAGTGGGTTCCAGTGTCAGCCAAGGACAAGTAACGGGGGCAAAATGTGTACCCAGCATGGAGGCTGGAAGGCAGAGCACATGGGAGGAGACAGTGGGCAATGGGCCTACCTCATTTGTTCATTCAAAGATGGTTAAGAACAACTCCACTGTGGCAGACAGCAGGCACCTGGGATTTATCAGCAGCAAGCAGGGGTCCCCTGTCTTCAGGGAGCTGAAATGCAGGGTATCACATGGCCCCTGGGGGAACCTGGACAATGCATATCCAAGGCTATATCTTCCTGCTAATGTGCTTGTACCAATAATATTAATTGCAATATTTCAATTTATAAAATTGAAAAGAGAACCATTTCAATTTTAAGTAACAACACTCAACTTGAACTGGCTTAAGCAAGTAAAAGAAGATTTTGGTTTTCTGTATTAATGCCTAAAAATACCAGGGGTTAACTCGCTCCTGGTATGAGTGGACACAAGAGCTCCAAAGGTACCAACAGGGCTCTGTGTCCTGCTCCAGTCCTTGGCTCTGCTTTCTTCTGACTTCAAACTTACTGACTTCATTCTCAAGTGGCCTCAGAGTAAAAATGGCCTCTGGTAGCTCCACGCTCATCCTCTCAGCAAAGAGGAAGCACTTACTGTTCTGGAAACTCTGGGGCACTGTTAGAGGGGACTGGTTCAACTTAGGTGTGATGCCCAGGCCTGAGCAATACTTGCAGTCAGTACTGGGGTGTGCTGATTGGCTGGGGTCTGGCAGTAGGTGCGGGAATAGGTGGGATAGGGGACAGCCTCGTTTACTCAGTAGGGGCTGGGAATGAAGGAAGGTGGTTTCCAAAAAAGAGCAGGGCTGTCTGGAGGCCACCTCAGCACGCCCCACACCTACTATGCTCCAGGCACAACGTGTCAGGTAAGCCTTCCCACAGTCCTAGGTGGTGAGGCTGCTCAGATCGCTCTGGGTGCTTACGGGAGGCAACCGATCAATGTTGCTCCCTCACATTGCTGTTTCCCTCTCTCCTGTCCTCTCTCTCTAAAAGCAATGAAGGGATGTCCTCGGGTGAGGATAAAAATAAATAAAAAACCAGTACCTCCCCTAGAGTTCTTGAGAGGGTTTGAGATAATGCATGCAAGGCACTTAGTGTCTGGCCAGTCTTGATCTTGCCTGGGGGGCCTTGGGGGTGCTGTCCTGGCTAAGCTACATTAGCCGGACTCTCCACTGCAGCCTGGCTCACATGACAGAAAGACGGATTGGCTCACAGAACGGAAGGCCTGGGGGTGCTGGCTTCAGCACAGTTGGGCCCAGGGGTGGCTGAGTCCCAAGGGATGTGGCCAACAGTGAGTTCACTACATGAGTGTGAGGAAAACGTTCTCCTTGACTGCCAAGGGCTGACCTGAGCGAAGACCCAGAAGATCTGGCTGAAGCATCTGTGAAATGAGACTCGATTGAATTGGGGGTTACTAACCGGACACCCTCCAGACTGCTGGGATGGGGCCATGGTTTGTTGGTCCCAAGCCAAAAAAACAAACAAAAAACCCCAAAAGCAGATCTCCCTTTTTTGACGGGCTCTCAACTCCATGACTTCACAGGAGCTGCTCGCAGTGATTGTCAGGTCAGATACATAATTCGCCTCTACAAGTTTGAGAAATGCATTTGGGGAAGTGGATTGTGGCTTCAGGAAGGCAGGCTGGTAGGCATCTTCTTCCCAATCATGGTATCCACAGGGAAAAACAGCTGGCATCGGGCCGGGGCACGGCAAGGCGAGGGCTGTGGCTATAGCTCATCTTGACAGTCCCTCTCAGCAACCACATTTTTGAACCCCAGGATTCCACACGCTCCCTCCCCAAGCAGTCCCCGGGGGCCCTTTACCACGTATGGAACACCCAAACACCGTGCGCCGGCCCCACACTGCCCCTACTGTGTGCCCAGTGCAAGCCCCAGGCCCATGGTCTCTGTGATCTTGGACAAGTCATCCTACCTCTCCGAACCCCAGTTTCCTCACCTACAAAATGAGACTGGCATCTAGACACAAAAATCAAAACATAATTCCACACAAAAGACTTGTGAATATTAAGAGAGTTTTATTCATAATAGCCAAAATCTGGAAACAGCCCAAGTGTTTATCTGATAAATGGGTAAACAAACTGGTACGTCCATACAATAGGACACTACTTGGCAATGAAATGAACTATTGGTGCATACAAAACAGGAATAGACCTCAAAATCATGTTGGATCAAAGAAGCCAGACACAAAACAGCATATATTATGCGATATTTACATAGAATTCTAGAAAAGGCAAAATGAATCTTAGAACAAAGGCAGGTCAGTGGTTGTCTGGGTTGGAGAAATGGGCCATAAAGGGGAAGGAGGGACCTTGAAATGTAATTGATGGCGGTGGTAGTTACAAGGGTGTACATATTTAACAAAAACTTATGAATGGAACACTGAAAATGGGAGGATTCTATTGTATGTAAAGTATACCTCAAAGTTGATTTTTTAAAAGTGAGATCAAAGAAAAACATTGTCTTTGCTAGGACTCTGTGACAGAGACCCTACTCTGGATAATGTTAGGGGAAAAAAACTGCATTGACTCATAGGATCAGGTTAGTCCAGGGGGCGGTTGGCGTCAGGTATGGCTCGATCCAGGGGCTGACTGATGTCTGGACTTGCTCTTTCTCAGCTCTCTTTGCTCCTCGTTGGCTTTCTCCTCAAGTAGACAACAGGATGGCCACCAGCAGTTCCAAGCTTGGCAACTTCTGTCAACTTGGCAACTGCCACAGAAAGCAAATGCTTATTTCCCCAAAGTTGCTGCAAAAGTCCTAATGGGGAGTCAGTGTCCAGTCTGGGACACACGCCTGCCTCTAAAGCCAGGAGGAGGGATTGGACCCAGCTGAACCCCAAGGGTACAAGGTGGAGGAGGCTTGCTCCTCTGAAGGAAAAGGCAGGTATTATTGGGAGGGCCATGGACGCTGGGCAGAAACAGCTCACAACTAGCCGGCACGGGGGGCAATGTTATCACGTATTCCTACCTCTGCAGTCGCCAGGTCATCAGGGACAAGCCCCAAATTCATTGCAGGTCCAAGGCTGCTTTTCTGCGATGTCACAGGGCCCTGCCTCTTTGATACAAGAGTCAAAACAGAAAGCAAGTGCTAATCTCTTCCCCACCAGCCAAGCCAAACAGAAAGCCCTTCCTGCCTGTGGCAGGCTGTCTGCACCCCAAGGAGGTGGGGGTGGGGGCGGAGGGGGAGCTCTGTAGCAGCTACTCTGGCCCAGGCCCAGAGGGAGGATCTTGGAACTGATGGTGATGGCATCCGGACTTGTAGGATGGACCTGGGGTGCGGGGGGCTGGGGCAGGGGGGACAGCCGAAGGGTGCCTCCGCACGCCAACCCCGACAGGGATGCGGGCAAAGGGCTGAGGACTGTAGCTTCTCAATCTAGACCCACCATCCCAACAGGGTCTGGCCAGGGCAGGAGGTCCAGAGAAAAAACTGAAGAAAGATGGTCCCTGCAGAGATAAAGAACATGCTGAAACGCAAATCTTACTTCCTGAGCAGTGCAGGGCAGCTAGCGTTAAATGAGCATCTTCAGGCCAGACCCCACCCAGCATTCTCTGTTTTCCTAGAGGGGAGGGAAAGGGTGCGCTAACTTCAGAAGTCTACAATGTAGACACCTTCCTATGGGGAACTATTGCGCCCAAACAAATAAGGCAACAGGCTCAGAGATGGAGATTTTACCCTGGGCCCCCGCTAAGTGGCTGCCCTTGGACTTCTGGGCGAAGGCTTGTCTCCCCCTGCCCTACCCCAATGCCAGGAGCTCAGAGCTCCTGGCTCAGCCTGATTGCCCAAGGCTGCTAGTTGACATTATTTCTGACCTAGGTAAGCCAAGGAAGTTTAGGACTATCTCCCAGTCCAGCTGCTCAAGGAATATGGGCAAGAAAAGCCCACGCGGAGGCCCACCGCCCTGTTTTCCATCACGGGGCTGGCTGAGTCGGCCCGCCCAGCCATCCTGCTTTCTGGGAAGCAGGTTAAATGGATGTCATTGCCAAGAGAGTGCGCTCTGCCGCAAAGAGCTGGGCGGGGAGCGGGGCGAGAGCCAGACAGAGGAAGGAGAGAGCCAAGATCCAGCGAGGGAAGGTGTGGCCAAGGCCCAGGCCCTCCCTGCCAAAGGAAGCCCGTGGGCCTGGCCCAGAGCCGCTGGGCTCTGGGAAAGCGGTGTTCTCAGCTCCCAACTCCCATTTCCACCCGCCATGTCCAAGGCAGGCTGGCCCCGGGGAACATCGGACTGCTTCCTGGAGCTGTCAGTGCGCCTGCCCGTTCGTTCCCTGCACTGGCATCCAGCCCAGCTGACCCTCAGGCCAGGTCCTCAGAGCCCAGCTCTGTAGGAAAGAGGGAGAGGCAGGAACAATCTCCTGTAGACCTAGGTACCCAGGAGGGGTCCTATCCTAAGGGCTGCCAGGCTGGAGCAGGGCCCAGATGAGCAAGCCCCATGCAGGCTGTGCTTCTTCTTAGATGCCTCTGTCCAGACACTCAGTAGGGAGCTAGTGGCCCTTTGCCACCCACAGCTGTGGGACCTGAGCCACATGTCTCTGGCATGTTCTGAAAATGGGGCTAGATCCTGCCCTACCCAGAGCTGGTGTCTTAGCAGCACAGCAAGCTAGGGGTCCAGGCGGCCAGGTGCAGTCAGCATTGGGGAAACTAAGGGACAACCACCCAGTCTCCCTGTGGGGCAGATACATCCTCCAGGAGATCGTAGCCCACCCCCACCACCCACTCACCCACCCACCCACCCACCTCAAGTGTTTCATCATCACAGTGACCTAAGTATTAGTCAGCATTATGATTTGCTTGTTATAACCATATAAGCTAATTACAAAGAATAGCTATTACTGAAAGCACCGACCTTGGGAGTTGGAAGCTGCAGATCTAAACGCCGGCTCTGCCACATCCTAGCTGAGTGTCCTCTGGTGAGTCTCCTGATCTCCTTGGCCTCGCTCCTTCTCCTGCAAAATGAGGATCAAAAGACAGCTCAGAGCAGAGAAAATACAGGAAGGGAAAATCTGCCAATTGCAAATGGTCACATCACCTGATCAGACTCTGAAGGCAGGGCCGGAGGAAACCTCTCCCATCTCTAACTGGTGGGCACATAGTGAATGGTTCTCTGGCTGCTTAACAGAATCAGCTGAGGAACATCAGAAAAACTAAAACAGATCCCATTCCCAGGTCCCCCTACCAACCCCCAATGATTCAGATCCAACTGGTCTGGGGTCGAGCCCAGGTATTAAAGGGTTTTTTGGTGGTGGTTTTTTTTTTTTTTATCCTCACCCGAAGACATTTTTTTTTTCATTGCTTTTAGAGACAGACAGAAGGAGAGAGGGAAGGAAACACCGACGGGAGAGAGAAGCATCAGTTGGCTGCCTCCTGCATACTCCCCGGACTGGATCGGCGCCTGGACGAGGGAGCACATGTTGGGGGATTTGTGCACCACACCTGGGCTGAGAATCGAACCCACAACCTAGGTATGTGTCCTGACTGGAAATTGAGCCCTCAATCTTTCAGTTATGCCAGGATGACCCTCCAGCCAACTGAGCCACCCTGGCCAGGGTCATTGGAGTTTTTAATATTCTCCAAATGACTCCCAGGTGACCAGGGTCCAGAAGCAATGCAGCAGCCCACTTAGAAACCAGTCAGGACAGAGCCCACATTTCTAGCCTCCTCCCAACAACTTCATCCACTGTTTGGAGAGGCTCGGTGCTGCTGCGCACCCTCCAGGAAGGTCTCCGGGTGCCCTGGCTGGAGGAGATCTCCGGCCCACAGTTCAGCCCTCTTGTCAAAAAGAAAATAGAGACTCTGTGGCCCCTGAGGGCACAGAGCCATCACTCCAATGGGTTACAAGCCTCGCCAGTTTTAAAAGCTCCAATCCTGCTAACTGGTTGAGGTGTACATTCACAGAGAAGAAAAACAAAATGCTGAAAGGATGTATTTCATTAGCAGACATTATCCTCAGCTATCAGCATTTATAAACCTTTTTCATCCTTTTGTATTTTCATAAGGCAAGGCAGTTGTTTTAAAACTGAGGAAAAAACAGTATTGTTTTATTTTTGATGTATTGCCTTTAAAAATTGATATAGTGTCTTTTGCAAATGTTTTGGGATAAAGACTGAGGAACATGCTCAGGAACAAGGAGTTCTAGAGGGGATGGAAGGGCAGGCCAAAGGGGCCTCAGGGGCAGTAGATTTGAAAATAGCAAATGCTTAGCTGATGAGGGGGATGGAACTGTATCACCCTGTGTATCACGAGAGCTCCACCCACTTCTTACCAAGGAGGGACGAGCATCATTCCCCAACAGCCCCTGACAACCTGTACCTCAGAGCTGCCCTTTCCTCAGGGAGAGCTGGTGCGGAGGCAGGTTCTGAGCCTGTGCAGCAAGAGGCCCAGCTGGCCAGGAAGGAGGATCATGGCGGTGAGGGCTCCACATACAACCACCATCTTGAGTGACTGGAGTCAGCACCTGGGAGGGAACCTGAGAAATATCTGGAAGATAAATTTCCCCTGCTGACTGTGACGTCGATGACACACAAGCCAGGTCTTGCTGCCTATTCACTGCCTCGTTCTGTCCGTCCACAGGCAGGCCACCTGGCTCAGTCTCAGCTAGAAAGGAAGAGTCCGTGGCTGTGGGACTTGGTGACATTCTTGTGGACTGGGGTGCTTGGGTTAAGGGGGGGCATGTCACAACTTGGTATTTCAGCTTCTTAACATTCCCCCCAAGAACCCAAAGTCCACCCAGGGTGAGGCCTTGACTTAGCCCAAATATCTGTAGGGTGGGGATAGAAAAGGTGGCGGGGGGGGGGGGGCACCTGCTGAGAATGGAGGCGGCTCAGGAAAGGAAATGGGGATAGAAAACACCCAGCAAGCTCCAGGGTCACAGTGGCGGGCAAAGAGTTGGACCCACTGCAGGCATATTTGCAAAATGGCCAGTGCTGGGTCTCAGAGAATGGACTGAGGCTCTGTTTGAAAGCAGTGCAGGTTCCTGCCCAGCCCAGCACCATTGCCCTGCGCGTGCAGCCGGTTCGCCCACACAAACCAGGGAGACCCACTAATATGCACAGGCCAACAAAAGCATCGACCCAACGAAACTGTTTGAATAATAAGCAAGTCCCAGTTGGACCCCAGGAAGCCCTTCTCATCCCTCAGCGGCCAGGTGGGTGAGGGGCGGGTTGGCCGCCACTGCCCGATGCCCACTGCAAGAGCAATAAGGATTTTTAGGGGCATTATGACTGGAGATAGAATACACAGCTGCCCCTGAAAGTCCTTTATTTTTCTTGCTGTCCTCAGATATTCCAGGTGAGTCAGCAGTCGATTGGCTGGCCTGGGTGAGTGAAGATGGCACCCTCACGTGACCCTGGCCCACCTCCCCACAGCCCAGGGGCAGCTCTGTGGTGGGTCGGTGACTGCCCTCGCAGCTCCCAGAACATGCCCAGGAATGTTCTGGACATTTGCTCCATCCACAGACAACTCGGAACCCAGCGCCTTCTGCCCCCGGGGAGCCATGGACTGAGTCCTGTTGGAATCCCAAGGGGACAAGCGCAGCCCAAGAACCAGGGGATGCTGTGAGACCGGGAGAAGGGTCGTCAGGCCCCTGTCTGCCCACGTGGGCTGTGGCCCCACCTTGCAGAGACTGAGCGTCTGACAGTCGCAGGCCTGACACTGGCATGTGAACAGAAGGTGGCTGGCTTTAACCTCCTCACACACCAGCCCGGTTCCGGGAGGGAGGAAACCCTGGGAGGTGCCCCAGGAGACCAAGCCGAGCCAGAAAACCTGGGGAGGAGCTGCTGCTCTCCCTGAGCCCTCAAAGACACGCGATGCCGAGAGGGACTGGACCTGAGCTCTGGTTCGGCGGCCTCCAGCAACGGTGACCTTGGTTACCCCGGCTGGAAATCAGGCCCAGAAGGAGCTAAGCTCCTACTACCCTCTCTCCCATCGCAAAGAAAAGGCAAAACAAGAAATGAGAGCATTTCAGCTCTGTCGTATCCAAAGGAACCGTTCCTGAAAAGCTTACAGTCATGGATCCTCTGTCCCTGGTGGGAGGCAAAAGGCTGCAGACAGAAACAGCCCGCCCTGGGGTCACTGCAGCTTGGGCCTGGGTCTCGTCCAGCCCTCCCTCTGCTCCGCATCCAGCCCCGCCCTCCTCTGAGGCGAGCTCTGGAAAAGGCAACAGCTTCCGTGGGCCTGGGTAGGAAGGTAGGCCCTCCTCCACCAAAACAGCCTATGAGGAGCAGAGACTTCCCTGTGTCCCTAAGGTTTTCAGGTTCAAAGCAATGAGCTGGCAGGCTCTGCTGGGAAGTGCAGGCTGCAAGACACGGGGGGGGGGGGGGCGGGGTTGTAGGGAGACAGTCAGTCAGAGAGTGGCCAACAAGAAAGGGAAAGGGTTGGTGACCAGCTGTTTTTCTTTTGAGAGGATGGAAAGGGCTCCCGGCAACAGAGCCTAGGTTAGGGTCCTCCTCCATGGCATGATCCCTCCTGCCTCCAGTCTCCAGGGCAGCAGGGCTCCTGCCCAGGAAGGTCCGGCAGGCCCCTCCACAGGCCCCGGGACTCTGGCTCCTCCGAACTCCATCGTGACGAATGCCACCCATTGACAGGTAACTTGTCCCCTGACGTGAGACCATTCCACCAGGGCACTGCTCTGGCTGGAATCTGCCCAGCCGGCCACCAGGAGCCTACCCCACCCAGCCTGGCATGATAACCACCCCTCGGGGGCCTGGTTGTTGGTCAGGCTGTGTGTGCAGGGCCTGAGGCCACTCAGAGTAAGATGCAGCTCACCTCTTCTGAGGGTTTTTCCTGACTGCAGCCCCTCTCTGGGCTAGAGCTCCGTCTTTCTCCCTGCTCCGCACCCATCCCTCTACCTACTGGCCCACAGGCGGGGTGGTCCTGGGACCACCTGCATCCTAACTTCCTAACAAACAGTGCTGACTCTGGGGTGCCTGAGGTTGGCTGGTGGGGCAGGGAGTCTGTAATCCTAACAGGCTCCTCAAGTGCTTCTCAGACCCCAGCGTTCGAGAACCACTGCTCTGGGCCATCTTACCGTCCTGGTACAGGTGAGGTGGGGGATTCCGCCCCCCATGCCATGCTAGGTGGGTACAGGCGACCCACCCTCGCTTGGCTCTGGCCGCAGAGCTAACCCGTCACCAAACAGCCTAGCCCCCAGGCCTTCCCCGAGCCCTTGCCCTGCCCAGCCTCTGCTGAACACGTTGATGACCAAGGGGCTGTCCCCTTCTGCTGGGGCTGACAAGCCGTCCAGGCTTCCAGGCTGCTGCAGAGTGAGGAGGCTCCATTCTGAATACAGAGTCCCTAAAATAGCCGACAACCCACAAAACCGCCTTGGAAGGGAAAGAAAGGCCAAGCAGAGATATCACCCTTGCTCGGAATTTGTTCTAGAAAGAAAACTATGTGCCAGTCCCACCCTGACCAGAAAAGGAGGTGGTCGGGCAGAGGGCTGTAGGCCCAGGGTGTCTTGGGTGCACCCCTCCTACAGAGAAGCCACTGGGCACATGCACACAGGCTTGCAGCAGGGGCTGGCAGAGGGGGCCTGGCCCCAGGGCCCGAAAAGGCCAAGCCTGCTTCTAGTCAGGGGCCAACTTCCCTGGCACACAGAACTGGGTTGTGCGGGGCGGAGGAGTGCTGGCGCTCCCGGCACTCAGCCCAGGGGACTGGACTCCGCTGGGTCCTACCCTCCTTCTAGCCGCCCACCCAGTCTGCCCCAGGCTAGCCCACCGTGGAGGTGGGAGCCGGAGGGCTTGGCTGGCTTGGAGCCTCCGCTGCAGTGGAAAGCTCTCTCGGACTCGCTGGCCAATCCAGACCTGGGATGAACAAAGCCAGGAGTCCTGAATCTCATCCATCAGAGTCCCTGAGTTTACGATAACCAATTTCTCTGCCAGAAATTCTTTTGCTAAGAACACCTTGGATCTTAAACCCTCACTCCCACCATGCTCTGCAAACTCTCCAG